CGGTCCACAGAAACACACAAACGGAGGCTCCAGAGTCCTCTTCCTTTGTTTCGTTTGTTTGGTTTTTTTGTTGTTGTTGTTTTGTTTTTTTGGTTTTGGGTTTTGTTGTTTTGTCTTCAAGACAGGTTTCTCTGTGTAGCCTTAGTTGTCCTGGACTCACTTTATAGACCAGGCTGGCCTCGAACTCACAGAGATCCGCCTGCTCCTGCTTCTCCTAGCGCTGGGATCGCAGGCGTGCACCACCAGGCCCAGGTTGTTTTGTTTTGTTTGTTTTGTTTTTTTAAGTATTACATTTACAGAGAGGTAAATATTATATTACAGAGAGGTGGTGGCGCACACCTTTGATCCCAGAACTCAGGAAGGCAGAGGCATGTGGATCTCTGAGTTCAAGGCCAGCCTGGTCTACAGAGTGAGTTCCAGGACAGCTAGGGCTACACAGAGAAACCCTGTCTCAAAACCATCCCCCCCACCAAAGAAAAAAAAACAAAAACAAAAAGCAAAAAAACAAGGTGGGGGGACCGAAGAAGACAGGAAATATTGCATTTTATTTCGTAGGTAGTATATGTCTGTGTGTTGGGGTAGCCTACCCCACATGGCCGCGTGGAGGGAATCAGCTCCTCCTGTCAGGATTATCAGGAAGCACCTTTACCCCTGAGCTACCCCAAACTCTTCTTATTCTCAATCTCCCTCTCTGAGCCCCACTTGAACCACCCTCATCAGTCATCACGCCAGACATCACCCCAAAAGGCTCTCCACTCATAATCAAAAGCCTCACTGGTCCATACTAGTGGGTGGGTCCCGGGGGTGGGAAAGGAAGGACCAGGGACAGACTGAGTCAGCCCAGGATGAACGGCTGAGGGCCTGTGGGCATGTCTGGGATGGAAGAATTTTTCAAAAAGAAAGAAGGTCGTGGGTGAATGTGGTGGTGACTTGAAGGTCCCTAGAACCCACAGGGGGACAGGCCAGCCTGCCAAAGCAGGAGAACAGAAAGGACCTGCTCAGAGCCCAAAACTCGACAGCAAAAGGAAACAGCCCAGGACCTCCCAGTCACCGGAGCTCAAGCTGAGATGGGGAGGCCACAGGGCTGGGGTGCCCCGGGTTTCTTTCCAGGATGGACCCCTTGGGGTCTGATCCAAAGGGAGGCATCAAAGGAAATGAAGAGGAGCCGCCGCCCCGTCCAACCCCATGTCCTGCACTGTGGACTCAGGAGAGACCCCAAATGGGAGGAGAATCACCACACAACACTGTGCAAGCACACTCTTCTGAAGTACTCAGAAGGCACTTAGGAATTTCACTTTCAGGTTTGCTAATCGTATTTTTAAATTATTATTTATTCACGTGTGTGCACGGGTATGCATGTATGTGCAAGCCAATGCACAAACCAGAGGACGGCCTGAGGTGTCATTCCTCAGGCTCTGTCTGTCTGTCTGTCTGCCTATCTATCTATCATCTATTTCAACAAAGGGCCTTCATTCTCTAATTACTCTAGGTTAGCCATCAAGCTCCAGAAATTATAAACACCATCACACCTGGCTAACTGGCTACTTTTCTTTTCTTCTTTGTTTGTTTGTTTGTTTGTTTGTGTGTGTGTGTTGGTTGGTTTGTTTTTGGAGACAAGGTTTCTCTGTGTAGCCCTGGCTGTCCTGGAGCTCATTATGTAGACTGAGCCTCAAACTCACAGAGATCTTCCTGCCTCTGCCTCCTAAGTGTTGCGATTAAAGGTGCGTGCCACCATGCCAGGGCCAAGTTTCTTTTTAACATGGATTCTGGGGCTTGAACACAGGTCCTCAAGTTTGCAAAGCAAGCACTTGGCCGACTGAGCCATCTCTTCAAACCTGTTTCGGTTTTTCCTTCTTTCCTTCTTTCTTTTTTTTTTTTTTTTGGAAGGTGGAGGTGGTGGACAGTACCCACACCCCAAAGTGCATGTTGGAGGTCAGAAGATAACCTGTGGGAGTCAGTTCTCTCTTTCAATCATGTGGGCACTGGCAATAAATCACTCAGATTGTCAGGTGTCTTTACCCACTGAGCCATTTTGCCAGCCCTTTTTTTTTTTTTTCAGTTCCACCTTCAAGCCCAGCACGGTTGCAGTGTAAACTTGTAATCCCAGCATTTTGGAGGCTGAGGCAGGGGGGCTGAGAATTCCAGGCCAGCCTGGGGTACATGAAGTAAGAGACCTCCACCAAACCAAGCAAGAAAAATGCATTTTTCAGAAGAACACAAAGATTCGAAGCAGGAAGATCACCATTTGCAGACAGTTCTGATTGCATGGCAAGATCCTATCTCAAAATAACCACAACATGGTGAATGCCTTTAATGGCAACACTCAGGAGTCAGGGACAAGCAGATCTCTGTGAGTCGAGGTCAGCCTGGTCTCCACTGTGAATTCCAGGCCAGCTGAGCCTGTCTAGTGACTTAAAAACAAAACAAGAACCAAACAAACAAAATAACCACTACCACCATCACCACAACAAAAAAACAGACCAATACTGAAAATTTTTGAAATCAATCCTGTTATATTTTTTTAATACTTATTTATTTACTTATTTATGTGTTTGTATGTTAGAGACAGGGTTTCTCTGTGTAACAGCTCTAGCTATCCTGGAACTCACTTTGTAGACCAGGCTGGCCTCAAAGTCACAGAGTTCTACCTGCCTCTGCCTCCTGAGTGCTGGGATTAAAGGCACCACCACGCCTGGCCTTTTACTTTTATAGAGTGCAATTTAGCATGATAAAAAGTTGGTTTAGAATGTACCTCAGCGGCAGAGTGTCTGCAGAGCACCCACAGGACCCTGGGTTCAATTCTTAGCTTTGAAAAGAAAAAGTAAATCAATTTCGGTTCTCTGAGACAGCGTGTCAACCGTGCCTGGTGGCATTCACCTACAGTCCTACCACTGGGAAGGCAGAGGTGGAAAGACCTGGAGCTTCAAAGGAACCTTTGCTACATAGGAAAGAGAAAGAAAGCTTCGTGTGGGGTGGGGACAGTTCACAGTGTAGCACAGTCTAGTTTCCAGCTACGGGTATCACACAGGCGCATTAGCACAGATGACTTGAACGCTAGGCCCCAGGTCCCAATCGCAGCACTGAAGCAAAAGGAGAAAAGGGGGAAGGCCTAGATCCTGAAGGAAGAGAACAAAAGGGGACGAGGGAAAATCCTGCAGTGGGAGCACGCTGGAGTGGGCGGCCATAGGAGTCAAAACAGTGATAAATAAAGTTAGAGAGGGTTCCTCCAAATGTCTGCCCTGACAGCCCACAGACAGACAGACAGACAGACAGGCCCCAGCCCGGCTCAGCAATTAATGAAGTTGTGGCTGCTTGCTCTGCTCCCCGATCCAGACTGGAGGAGCCGAGGCCTGACAACGGTCTGAGGCCCCACCTTGTCTGCTCCGACACTGTAGGCTGGCCGGGTTATTCCTGCAACTCTAGTGGGTGGCTCGGGAGACTGGAGAAAGGGGAGCAGACAGGTGCCACGGGAGCCCCCGATCCCAGCGCTACAGGTGAGAGCAAGCCTGCTGAGTCCCAACCGTCTCCAGGCCTGTTCCTCTGTCTATGCAGGAACTTCTGCACCCTTCCAGGCACACTCTAGGACTAGAAAACTGGCCAGTGCCTGAGACACCCAGGGAAGGATGAGCAGCAGAGAATCATCAGAAGTCTTTGGAGAGAAAGGATGCCCCCCCCCAGCAACAAACAAACAAACATGGCTTATCCTGGGCTCATCAATGAGGAAGAGCAACTCAGCTGCTTGAGACCAGCTATAGTTGGCAGCCGCCACCCCCCACGTCATCTGGAGGGAATACACTCTAGTGATGCCACCCCAGGCAGGACCCAGCAAGGTTTCTGTGCCCAATCCCAGAAACCCCACCCTTGCAACCTCTCAATAACCTCTGAGTGTTCATCCCGACACCCCACGTCCTAACTCATGACAAAGTCCCGGCTGGTCCCCAGGTAGCTGCCTCTTCCCATGAAACACAAGAGGGTCCACTCGGGGTGCCTCATCCTAGACGACCCCTTTCTTCACAAACTGCAGGTTTCTCTTTCTGTCTTCAGCAAAGAGACTCCATCCGGAAGCAGCAGGCTGAGCCACAAACCATACAACTAATGCAACAGCTTCGGGGGACACCCTCCCTCCCCTCCATCTTCTTCCAGGCCGTGCTGGTCAACAGCTGGTTAAGTAAGTGGCCAGTGCTTTAAGGGACCAGCTCTCAAAGGGCACAGTACAAGACTGGACACCAGATTCGGCCAGTCTTGAGCTTGACATGTTCAGGCCCTGGGCATGAGCGCTCGCGCTCTCTCTCTCTCTCTCTCTCTCTCTCTCTCTCTCTCTCTGCAGACATATGATCTCAAAGTAAGACCGGAAAAGAAAACTTGGCCACCGCTTCTCCGTGTCACCAAATCCCAGTCTGCCCCCCCACCCCACCCCCCATACACCCAAAGCTACCCTGAGGACAGCAGCAGCAGCAGCAGCAGCAGCAGCAGCAGCAGCAGCAGCAGCAGCAAAGGAACAGGGACACCGAGATCCCAAAAGCTTCGGCCCACCCTCCCCAACACTTGAGCTTCCCCTACACAGGGATTGAGAGGCATCCAGCTCCTGCCAGGCCCAATAGTGCTCCCCCAGGCCTCCTGAGACCCCACACTGAGGCAGGGGGCAGGTCCTGAGGCCCCCGGGGGCCGACTGGTGAAGCGGTGTCACCTCCTCCTCCCGCACCGAAGTTAACTTTTAACTGCGCGCACACCGCCATCCCCGTGCTTTCTGAGCTCCCTGACCGGCTGTCGGCGTGACACCCTCGGCCCCCGCGGCTCGGTCCTCACTGCAGAGCCTGAGGCTCAGGCGGCGAGCACGAAGACTCGGCAACGTGCAGCCTCAGAATCTGCTACTTGCTTTTTTTTTTTTTTTTAATTTTTAAGAAGAAAAGTCCTTGTTCCGGCGGGTCCCCTCCCCGGGGCCAGACTCCCGCCGGCTCCGCCCCGCGAGCTCGCTGCGCCCCGGCGCGCGCCCCGCTCACCTCCCCTGCTTGGTGATGATCATCTCCGTCTGGTGCTGGTTGAACTTGGACCACAACAGGTGGTTGCTGAGCGCCACCCTCAGCTTCCCCGACACCTCCAGCCCCGCGGGCAGCGCGTAGTCCTCGCGGGGGCCCGGGTAGAGCCCGGCGCGCGGGTCCGGGGCGGCGTAGCCATCTCCGGCCGGGTAGCCCTCGGCGGCCGCGGGCGGCGGGAAGGGCTCTCCGGCCCCGGGGAAGCCGGCCGCCTGGGCCCGGGGAGGGTAGGCGTAGGCTCCGAGGAAGCGTCCGGGCGCGGCGGGCACCAGGGCTCCCCCGGAGTAGGGCGTCCCCAGGCCGCCACCTCCGTGGTGGCGCTCGGTGGAGGGCTCCTGCGCGCCGGGCTCCGGGTAGAAGAAGCGAGGCTGTTGCTCCGCTCCGGGACCCCGGCCCTCGTCACTCGGCATCGGCTCGGCGCCGGTCAGCATGTCTCCGCAGCCGGGCTCCACGATGCCCATCCGCGGCGGGCTGGGCGCCTTCCCGCAGCCGTCGTGGGGGGTGGGGGTGGGGGAGGGGGGGGGGGGGAGCCCGGGGGGGCGGGGGGGGGGGGGCGGCGTGGGCGGGGTCCGGAGGGTTGTGGAAGTCCAACCCGAGCCGGGGCTGGGACGCCCGGCTCCCGAGCGCGCTTCGGGGCAGAGGCGCGCAGCTGCCCCGGGCCTTTTCCTCCGGAGGGGCCCCGCTTGTCACTAGCGGCGCGGCGGCCTTTGCTGTGGCTTTATGAAGCTCCTCGGGTCCCCTCACCCCCCGCCGCCTCGGCCCCGCCCCGCCCCGCCCCGCCCCCTCGCGGCTAACCCAGCGCCGAGTCGCTCTTTACGGAGGGCTGAAGCCCCCCCCCGCCCCCCAAGCAGGACCCCGAATCTGGGAAATTCGGAGCCCGCCACCTGAAACCTCGGGCGGGTTTCTCTCCCTCCCCCAGGAAATCCGCCCGTCCTGGAAAGCACGGCAAAGGCCCCTTTCCCCAGATGGGACCCTCTGAGGCACGCTCACGGCTCGGGCCGGCTTGGAGCTGCCTAGGTTATCCACACTCGGCAAGTATCTGTTGCTGCGTCCTGCGTGCTCAGGCTTGGTGCCTTTGCAAGGGGTGTTTGCCTGCTCTCTCTTGACCGGGGGTCCCCTCATCACCACCCTACCCCTCATCCCCCCCAGCTCGGGGAGGACGCTTGTCCCTCTAGCCCAAGAGCGGACTTGGAAGCTGTTGGGTAATAGGCTCCCGAAAGGATTTGCACCCCGAGCGGGTGGGGAGGGGGGGAGCAGCCCACCTTGGGCTTGGGCTGGGCTGAAATGCTCCCGCAAAAGCGTGTTCACGTGGCTCAGCGGCGCTCGGCTGCCGGTGTTCAGGGTCCTGAAAGTCAGGCCTTCAGGCCTCCTAGGGCAGGCTAGGGAAATAAACAATCTTTGTATGGGGGGGGGGGGGGGCTGTGAGCCTCACGCCAGCCCAGCGGGCTCTGCACGCCTCACTTTCCATCCTTTTAGAGGGGAAACGAAGTGTCTTAAAGGTAGTCAGAGCTGGCGGATAGGGAGCCCAGCGCATGCTCGGATGAGACAGACACCGTCCTTCGCTCTAAAGTTAAGTCACGAATTTTGAGAAGTTTCCCTTACTTCCCAAGTGAAAGTGAAGCCACTGGGAGTTTTCTTTTGAAGTAAGAAGCATCCTTAGGGTCTGGGGATGCCGTTCAGTTGCTGCCTGGTTAGCGTCCGCCAAGCTCTGGTTCTATCCCCAGCTTTGTAAGGATGGAGCAGGCTGGCACACAGCTGTAATCGCAGCACTGAGCAGGGAGCTAGAGGATTAGAACGTCATCTTCAGCTAGAATTTGAGCCAGCCTGGGTTACATGGGATCCTCTCTCAAAAATAAGTAAATAAAAAGGAAAGCATCATTTAAAGGTTGTTTGCCTGTTGTGTGTATGTGTGGGCATGCGTGCCCCGGTGCATGTTTGGAGTTCAGAGGGCAACTGTACAGAGTCAGTTCTCGCCTACCATCCTTTCGTGGGTCCTGGGTCCTGAACTCGGGTCATCAGGCTTGGACACAGACCCTCTCTGCGTCTCTGTCTTTTGTACACACTCACACGTGTGTCTAATTTCATATAAGCATCACAGTCTGTTCTGTTCTGTGGCTTCTTTTTTTTCTTCACTCAGCAAGGTGTAATGGATTTTTTTTTTTTTTTGCATGTCAAATATATAAAGATCTACATTTTAGAGGATGTTACAAAATATATTTCCACACAGTTTTATTCTGTTAAAGGGTGACTTCTTTCCCTCCTCTCTGTGACACCTCACTTCTCCCCTGGGGGCTGACCTCATCACTACATTTCTGTCTCAGCCCAATAGGGCTTCACCCATAGGGGCCCAGAGGGACACTCTCCTTCCAACTAGAGCTGAACCAAGAGTCAGGCTGGCAGGCAAAGGTGAAGCTTGGGACCCCAGGAGGCGGACATGACCCAAAGGGTGGGGGGAGAGTGAGCCAATCGCTGCCTGGATCCTGGATAGCACTAGAAATCAAGGTCTAGCCTCCTTCTTACCCCTTTCACCCCCATACGTCCTCACGCCTTAGCATGTAAAAGCTTCCGTGTGCTGTCGAAGTGAGGTGGCGTGGCTTGAAAGGGGGTGATTTTGGGATGCTTGGTGACCTGGTATGAAAAAAAAAAAAAAAAAGATTTCTGAGATTCGTTCAAATGACTGATTTCCCCAGGAGGTGAAGAGTTTGAACACCAAGAACTCTCCGGGGGAACATTTTTGCTAAGGGCCCCATTGTGAAAGGCCAGATGGAGTCTTGGCCTTGTTCCTCCACCTTTCTGAGCCCTCAGGTCAGCTGAGCCATCCCTCTGCTTCAGAACAGAACGTTCTACGTGCCAGCCCAGCAAGCTCTTCAAAGCAGGAGCGATTATGATTGGTGGTCCTAGGAACATGTCTTTGGGGGGGGGGGGCAGGGATGAGCATGGTCTTTCGTCGCCTGATGAGTTGCTAGAACCTGCCTTATTCACCTGAGAGTCCTCGCCACTCTCATCCCCCAGCTCCCTCTAATTTCTTCCACCCAAAAAAGAAAGTGCTTGTGAAAAGCGGGGGCTGAGTGGCCCTGGTGTCATTGCTGCCAGTCCCGCCCCTCTGCCAGCTTGGGTGAGAAGAGCCCTGGCAGCGACAGCTCCTCTTCCTGCTGCCACCTCACCCCCCCCCCTTTCCCAGTCTTCAGGGCTGGAAAGGTGGGAAGTGAGGATCGAGGAGAGGAGGTCCCGTGGGATCCCCTCTCTTCCCTGTGACTACTGCTCTAGGCCCCCTCTCTCACACTGCCAGCACGTCCTACCCACAGGCCGACCCTGATGGGACACAGGCTGGCTACCCAGGATGGAGGAGGCAGCCTCCAGCCAGCATCCCACTGCAGAAGTCTGTCAGGATGGCTAGCACGGAATGCTTCCAAAGTCACACACCCTGTTGGCCAGGCTAGCGCTGAGGGTCTGACGTGGACTTCCCAGAAAGGCTGGGGGCATCTCGTGGTAGTAGGGCATGGACCTGGTATAGGTGAGAACCTCAGTTCCATCCCAGCATCCCAACAAAGAGTCTGTTGATCTCCTAGAGGAGACACAGAAAACAGGGAGCAGGGAGAAACTGCCCCCAAGGGGCCTAAGCCCTCCCAACATGATACTGGCTCTTTTCGCCCTGTGATGTTCTACAAGTGTAGAACGAGACTTCTTTCAGGTCCAGGAAAGAGTGCAAGGGGCTCCCCCAGGACCACACAGCCAGGCCATACCTCTAGGCCACCGCCTAGCCCAGCAAGCTGTCACGTGGATTTCTGGGACTTGCTCCTAGACACGCTGATTCGCCGATTCTGGGCCCTGACAAGCTTTTCAGTGTCTTGGGTTAAGGAAACTGGCCTTCAGAGATGCCTCACATCCCACTTCCGGGTTCCTCCCTCTTCCTCTCCGCTATCGCCAAGTCAGGGAATAGTGGAAGAAAGACAACAGAAGCCACGTTGCAGGGTCCTGGTCATCACCCTAGGCCTACAACGTCCCCTCCTCAGATAGATCACTGGGCCTGGTCCTCTCCTGAACATGTGTGCAAGACCAACCCCTCCATCCCAGGGGGTCAGTGACGAATAGATACAGATCCAGGGGTCAACTCTCTGCCTTTGGAGCCTCGGAGGCTAGAACAGGAGGCCTGCAAAGGAAGGCATGCTGGCCTCAGGAGATGCTCATGAGAGATTCAGAGTCAAGAAACCATGAAGTCAGAGACTTAACTGTGACTCAGTGAGAAAGTGTCAGGCCCCGGAGGGGGGAAGCAAGGAAGAGAGACGCTCTTGAGAGCAAAGACCTCAGACGCTAGAAAGTTTGGGGGGGAGTACCAACGGCCTGGCAGAGGGAAAGGGCATCTCTCCCAGGTGGCTTCCTAGGAATCCCCCAACTCCAACCCTCACCATCTGGGTGAACTACCACAGTGTCTCGACAGCTCCGGTTTCCTGGTCAGTGAAGAAGACTCCCCCGGGCTGTAAAGGCTGAGAGCCTTGCCCTGAGCCAGGGGCGGAATGGAGGCCAGGCTGTGCTCAACTGCCCGCCTTGTCTTTGGCTTCCAGCCACCTGCATCTTCTCTTTCCTCTCTCCAGCTCAGTGCATCCTCCACAAAGGGTCCCTCACACTCATCCTTAGTCTCTGCTAAGGCCTTGGGCCAGAAGAGACCTCCTTGTTCAGAGTAGGGCAGGCCTGCCTCCCTCCTGACCCCCTACACCACTCCCACCCCCACCCCCACTCAGGGCTGTGATAAACTAGGCCCTGAGGACTGCTGGAACTCAATTCAGGATCAGTCTCTGACCCCAAAGAGCCCCTAGCTAGGTAGGAGACCACGGGCTGCAGGCTTCTCCAGCTCTTCAGCCCACCTGTCCCAGAGGCAGATTGGCAACCCTCCTTTTGCACACCCACCCAGCGGTGTGTTTGGCGTGTACAGGCATGCCAAACACGGGGTCTCCCTCAAGATAACCCCTGAGCCCCACTTCCAGCTCTGCTCCCACCTCTACCTAACCTACCAGGGTTCTCTGGGCATCTCACTCTGTCATCCATCCACCCTGGAGCCCTTCCAGCTCTGGGCCTCAGACTGCCAGTCCTTCAAAGAGCATGGCTGTGGCCGGAACCATCGGCTTAGCAGGGAGGGGGCAGGGTGATGACCAGCACCTGGAGAGCAACCCCAACCCCCAACAGCGACAGCTGCAGGAGGTCGGAATCCCCAGGACCCAGCGCTTACTCCAAGGTCAAGGGCTTCAGGTTCTCATTTCTGGGTTGGGGAGTCATTCTATGTCACTTTGAACACCTCTTAAGATGGGAAGCTTTTACCCTCTGCTCCTAGACAACACCCCAGTCCTGACCTGCAGTCTTCCTTTCCCCTAACTTTTCCCGTGCCTTTCCACCAGCACCCCAGCCCTAGGGAAAAGGGTCCCCATACTGTTACTACCAAGACAACTCTGATCACAGGGATAGTCAG